CTAAGTGCAGTAAGTAATAAGTATGTTAGTTCTGCCTCTATTGCACAAATAAAGGACTTCACATACATGTAAATACAATGGTTGAACTGGCTGCACACAGCAACAGATCTGCCCTTCAGTCACAGATGCTATCTTTGCCCTGTGGAGAGGAATTTGTTTTCTAAGCTTTAAATGCAGCTACCTTGATAAATGAGTGCTAAAAAGTTTGGAAAAATATGTCTGTGTACAGGTGCAATGCAAAGGGAAAAACCAAAGAGCAACATGAGGCCAAATTTACATGAAAACATTAAAAACAGCTAAATAACTCAAGGTTTGGGTTAGAAAAAAAGTTTCAAGGTAAAGTAATATACCCAAACTTCAAAGACAAATTCAGTAATTTGTGGTGTCTCGTCTTGAGCAATAGTTTTTAAGAACAACCCAGCACAGCATCCCTCTTAGGACCCAAAAGTGCTTGCAATCATTCATGTTACATTTAATAAACAAGTTACAGAAATAAAACTGCTTGTTATTTGCATTCTCTTCCTTTGGAAAGGGAGGGAAGCAGTAGTTATAAATATTTTACCTACTTGAAAACTCATGGTTTGTTGTTTTTCTTTTAAGAAAATTCTGGCTTATCTCTTTGAAAATGAAAAAGAACAGTGAAATGATAAAAGGAAAAAGTGGTGATGCACTTCCAGTATATGAGACATAAAAGTCAACAGAGAGAAAGGAATAAAACCAGCTGAAAGCAGGAGCTGGAGAAAGTAGGCAGGAATAAAGCACAGAAGCATAAATATAAAGAAACAAAGATTACAGAGGCATGACTCAATGTCAAAAGCTATACAGGTCAAGATGCGTGACATACGTTTGCTTTTGGAGACATAGGATTTGTTGACTCTGAGAAATGTATTTCTCCCCTGGAGAGTATTCCAAAGCAAGAGATACAGCTCTGGATGTATGGATGTCAAGAATAAAATAGAAGGGAGGGAAATCACACTGAAGGAACAAACAAAGCCACAGTATAAAGGACAACTGTTTATGTTAGCATGATGCTTTCCAAGGAATTAGCTGTCAAAGTAACCTTTCCTACTTCCTCCTTTCCCAGCCTTTAACTGGGGAATGATTTGAACCCTGAGTACCCATTTTCAAGTTTCCAAACCCAAAGGGAACAAAACAATTTATTTCCACTGTAGCAAAAAAGAACAAACATTTCCAAGAACATACAGGGTACCCTCCTCTTCAGTGGCAGTTTGACCTTATGTTTCAGATACACACGGCACATATTCATTTAAAAAACACTTTGCTCCACAGGTACATGAAGGATTGAAAAGCATTTCTGTCATATTCAGTAAATGACTGGTTAATGAGGTATGCCATAATCAAATCACCCAATAAGGGCAGTGACAACGCTCAGCATGTTATCACTCATCATTAAATAGTAACTTCACACTACTAGGAACAGACACAAGTAGAAACTGCTTGAAAGTAACACTTTCCAGTAAGAGACTCCCCTTTGTTCTAACATTAACAATCCTCTGCAGTTTAACCATCACAGATGTACTGAACACCATTCTCATAGTTTTTAGATTTGGGTTTTAATTAGCCTTCAGAGCATGAGTAATAACTTTTCAATGCAAGTGTTTTCTAAAGACCAAAATCTACCTTATGATTATAAAAATGAGATACCATTGCCACCCTCTTCTTTGATTTTCCTTAGGAGAATGCAAGTGATACAAGAATGACTCAAGACCAGTACACACAGAGAATTTATACAGTTCTATTATATAAAGCCCAAGATTCCTCTCTGCTTCAAGACTGACAGTAAGAATAAGCATCAACTATATATGAAAATCCTTGACTAAAAATCTTGTCAATCACATATGGTTACACTGCAAATAATCTCAAAGACATGATGGAAGTTGCAGAATTCAACACTGGTAGAGCATGTAGCTCACAGCAGTGATGAAATCAGAAGGTGATGAACAGCTAGCAGCTCATCTTGCTTTAGCAGCTCTGAATCATGCAGCTGTAAAGGAAATTTCTCTCTTAAAGATCAAAGTGTTAAAACATATAAATAAATTGCAAATGGTGGCTTAATAAATCAGTTTTACAATCCTGATTATAAAACATTATACTTTCAATCCTACATTTACGTTCTGGTATCTGCAGAAAGTCCAGCAGGCTTCAGAGGCTGTGCTGAAGGTGATGAGACTACACACAGACAGATGTGTCAGCCCACATAGAAACACTTTCCAAAGGCTAAATCATGGCAAACAGAATAGAGTAGCACCCAGTCCTAATGCAATACTATCAGGTTACACCTTTAATACCCGTTTAAAACCAGGAAAGTAAACACACTTGCAGTGTGGATACTATCATCGCCTGTGTTATTTCAACTACTCAAATGATACTCAAGCAGCTTCATAATGTCTGCAGAAGATTTACATTTAATAAGCCCCTCTAAAGTAACCTGGAGCCCACTAATGACAATTTATCTACTGAGCTCACATATACATTTAGCCACTAGTTACCTGCTGAGCATTTTTACCTTCTTTACTGCTACCACTATTGTTAAGATGATCTGCATTTAACAAGTACAATTTAGGGTTTTTTAATGCCCCTATCTCCTTGCCTGAAGACACCAAGTAATGAATGACCTGTTTTTCAACTGTGCTGTTTAGCAAAACAATTTCTGGAGGCAGCACTGAAGTTTAACTATAAATAATAGCTCGTATTGCAGGAAAAAAAAAAAAAAGTATTTTGAAGATATTTTTCAAGTTAAACTACAATAATTTAAAGCAGGTAAAGGAGCACTAACCCTTTAAGAAAACTCAGCTGTTCTTATAGGAAGTGTTTTAGCAGCGTAAACTTCTTTGTACTTGGTTCCTAAATAAAAGTTACACTATATTGCTCACATTAAGTTTCTAATTCTTTACTGCCATGTGTAGTTAATTTAACTAATACAACATAAGAGCAAAAATCAGAACATTTGATTTGCTGTCACTGTGTGTTCACTTCATACAGATGAAAAGGACTCCAGAGCTACAGAGAAAAAGGCCCTAGAAGGATGCCAGAAGCTTACTTAAAAAAAAATACAGTCCAAACCTCCAAAGCCAAAGTAGCTTAAACTAAGACTAAACTCACAAGTTATCACAAAGAGAAAGTAATGCTGTTACCTAGTGGTGGAAAGCTAGGTACGTGCAGAATTGTACAGCATTTTTTTTTCCTCCTCACTTCAAATTCTCATCTACAAGCCATTAAAATCATGTCAAGAGAAAAAACCAAACATGCCTGATTCATAAACTAATGAAAAATATCACTTTTTTTGCATTCAGTTCTGTGACAAAGGGTCAGTGTTTTTGCCAGCTTTGATTCTCAGAGTAAGTGACAAATGAGGAGCTTCATCATTTCCTGGTCATCCCAAACCTGCTGTTTTACGCTCCTCTTTCAACACCAGCAAGACTGGAAACCTGTGGTATAAAAGCAACTTCAATCTTAATTCTCATTAGTTTTCCACAGAGCATGATAACACAAACTGTATTGTGCACCCCTCAGCATCTTATCAGATCATATTTTCAATTACATAAATCAATATTAGTGGAATTCAGACAGCATTCTCTCCTAAATAAAAATGTTAACTTTGCTTTCAGACAGAAAATAAATAACTAGAGGAGAAGGAATATATGAAGACTTTAAAGTTACTTACTCAAATGCAAAGAAGAGTCCACTGGTGACCAAGATGAGAACAAGAGTCAGGTAGAAGACTCCAGTCTGTCGAGCCATCATGATCCTCCCATTGCAGAAGAACTTGTTTCTTCCAGGAAAAACCTCCCATTTTCTCTTGGGAACTGATTTCTTTTTCTTATGGGGAGACTCCATGGGAGACGAAGAGCTGTGTGTACTGATCTGACTGTATTCACAGTCTTTCATGGGCCCACTACCACCTCCAGGAGTCATCAAGAAAGAGTAAAATGTGGGGAGAACCCCACCAAAAATATATACAAATATATATGTGCAAATATTCTTCTGGCCAAGAGAGCCCTCTCCACCAGCCCCAGTTAATAAAAAAAAGCAAATAAAACTCTGCTACCAGACTAGCAATAGGTGTATCATGCAAACACCACTTAACTCTTCAGAAACCAAAGCTGTCATATCAGAAACGCTTGAGACGGATCCTTCCTTCCTCCACCAGTTACAAAACAACCACGTAGGACAATCCTTTTAAAAACAACTTATCACAAAACAGGACAAAAAGAAAAAAAAAAAAAAAAAAGTAATTATAAATCAGTTAGGCTCTCAAAAAAAAAAAAAAATCAAGTCTTTTTTTATCAAGTTTATTTTCAAGTGGGAAAGCTTTTTCCTTCCCACGCACACCCTGAGAGTTTTCTCCGAGGGTCAGAAGGTTGGTCAAGGCAAGGTTTAGCAATCGAGTCTATCATTCATAGAGATTTGTTATAATCCTTCTTTGCGCAGCAGATTCCACTGCTAAAAATGACCATTCCTAAGACGTTCCCTCGAGAGAGACACGCGAAACAAATCATTAAGGGGGGAGGGGAGGAAAAAGAAAAAAGAAAATGAAAAAAAAAAAAAAAAGAAAAAAAGAAAAAAAGAAAAAAAAACCAGGCAAGTAAGGAACCAGCAACTCCAGCTTCCGAAGAACACTTGAAGCTCTCCTCTTCCTGAAGCCGCAGTCCAGCGGGAAGCGGCCGCCGCTCCGCGCAGACCTAGGGGCGCAGGGCTCCCCTGTCACCACTCCACAGCAAGGGATTCTCCCGAGCCCGTGGCAGCCCGGGGCACGGCCGGTCGCCGACAGACACCAGCGCCTCGGGAGCAGGTCCTCCTCATCCTCCCTGCCCGCGCCTCCCCCTACACAACAGGTCCCCGCCGCCGCCTCATGCTCCCCAGCGCCTCGGCCCCGCGGGAGGGAGGTTGGGAGGCAGGGGACAGGGAGGCTCCGCCGCCGCTAGATCTCTGCCAGGACTTCTCCCTCCCCGCACCATCCTNCCCGCATCCGTATCCCCATGCACGGTCCCGCTTCTCCCCGGGCAGCCTTACGTGCCCTCCTGTGCGGCGGAGGACTGCGTCCGGGTTTCTCTTTCAGTCAGGCCGGAAGGCCAGCGCTAGAAGCCCTGATCCGTCCCGTCGGGAGCCGCACGACCCCCCGCGGTCGGGTCACCCGGCATAAGTCGGAGTGTTCCTGTCCCAGCTGCCCAAAGTGCTCGACCGCAGCCGTGCTGGGCCAGCGCTCGACTGTCCCTGCTTCTGCTGCATGCCAGTGCTTCACTGCCCCACCGGCGGCATCCACATGTTCCATTATGCTGCTGGAATCACAGAGTCAGCTAGTTTGGAAAAGACCTTTGAGATCATCGTGTCCAACCTTTGTCCAGCCTATGAAATGGCAAGTCCATCTTGCCGGTTAGACTATGGCACTAAGTGACACATCCTTACCTTAAAAACACTTCAAAGGATGATGACTCCAGTTCCATGGTCAGTTTGTTCCAGTGTTCAATCACCCTTTCTCTGAAGAATTTCCGAATGTCCAACCTAAACTTCCTTTGAGGCAGCTTAAGACTGTGTCTTTCTGTCCTATTGCTGGTGGCCTGAGAGAAGAGGCCGACCTGCATCTGGCTAGAATCTCCCTTCAGGTTGTAGTAGAGACTGATAAGGTCTCCCCTGAGCCTCCTGTTTTCCAGGCAAAACAACTCTAGCTCCCTCAGCCGCTTCTCCTAGGACTTGTGTCACAGACGCTTTACCAGCTTGGTTGCCCTTCTCCAGACAAGTTCCTGAATCTGCCTCCTTCCTAAACTGAGGGCCCAGAACTGGACGCAGCACTCAGTGTGCTGCCTCACCAGTGCCAAGTACAGGGGAAGAATAACCTCCCTGCTCCAGCTGGACACACTATTCCTGATGTAGGCCAGGATGGCCATTGGCCTTCTTTTCCACATGGGCACATTGCTGGAAGTACAAGGTTTGTCTACCAACGCCGACATGTTCATACAGACCCTCGCTGTGTCTTGACATCACATCCCAGAAAGGTATGAGCCAAGAAGGGAAAGCTTTCCTATAAATGCCATCCTGTACCAAGCCCTTCTCACATGGGCATTGGTGGCAGGGGTGCCTGCAGAAACGTCAGGGAGGCTTCCCACAATTGAGGCAGAGCCACTCTCAAAGCTGCTTGCTCTTGTTTCTGCCTAGTACATTCTCCATATGTATCAAAAGAAGAGCTCTGAAGCTGTTGACGGGTCTGGAGCAGCTTCTGATGAGCAACTGAAGGAGCAGGGATCGTTTAGCTTGGAGAAAAGGGGGCTTTGGGAGAGTTCACTGCTCTTTAACTACCTGTAGCCAGGTAGGGTTGGTCTCTTCTAACTAACAAGCAACAGGACAAAAGGAAATAGCCTCAAGTTGTGCCAGGGAAGGTTTAGATTGGATATTAGAAAAAAATTTCTACACTGGAAGCATTGGAACAGGCTACCCAGGGACATGATAGAATCACCACACCTGGAGGTATTTAAAAGACTGTAGATGTGGTGCTTTGGGACATGGTGGATTTGGCAGTGCCAGGTTTACAGTTGAAATCAATGATCTTAAAGGACTTTTCCAAATTAGATGATTCTATAATTTTATGATCTGCAATGGGCAAGCAGGCATAAACCAGTGCTAACAAAGATTCATTTTGATTCATCTTTTACAGTTTTGCAATTTACTAGCAGAGCTGTATAAGCTATAGAGAATGGACTAGTTTGGAAATAGGGAAATGTGGTAGGAATCAATACAGTTCAGAAAAGCCAAAAGCAAACTGAGCAAACTTCTGTAAAAAGTTGAGAAAAAAAGTTGATTATAATTGTCTGCCTCTCTCATGGCTGAATGTTGTCCTTGGAGAGACAGCAAAAACACGTAAGGATGCAGCTGAGTTCTCAGGCAATGTGTTTTCTGTTTTCATAATTTCATTTTGAATTTTGAAATGGAATATTTATCCCTTTAATACAATAAGCTAATTCTTTATCCATAAACAGTGCCTAATAACAAAGGGACCGTGGAACAGACTGACGAGCACTGGATAACTTCCCTTTCCTTGGAGGAAATTAATTACTTTGGTAACCAAATTACACAGGGTAGCCTGGTAGACACATTCTCCTTGTGATTCTACAATCTGTTTTATTGATACACAGAAATAATTTTGGCAATGTTAATGACATATGGCAAAAATATGGGGGGGTGTCTCCCTCTATAAGGTGTAAAGAAGTAGTCCTTTGGCAGCAAGATATAAAAATAATTTCTAGTATCATCGCTCATGAAAATGCATTGGCATCCTTTTTCCACACTGCTACATTATTCCTTCCCATCTCCTCCTCCTCTTGTAGTGCCTGATGTCAACAGTTTGCCTGCAATTTCATAACTTAGATATCACAGCATTTTTTATTCTTTGAAATGGTCTTTATAAACAGTTAATAACTTTTCTTTCTTTCTTAATGAATACAACACCTATGTATTCAGAAGGCTGCTGACAATTTTTTTTGGTTCACTGACAAGCATTCTTAGTCTTCATCAGGTTTCTATTAGCATATTGCTGGAGCTCTATCTTCAGTGCTTTGACAATATTAATGACTATATCATGTCAAATGCCACTGTTCTCTCCTGAGATTATGGAATATTTTAGACATTCACAAATAGAGCAAATGGTACATGCAAAAATGTTATTGTTGGCTTATCTTCACAGGTAGCAGTCAGGCTAATTTCAGAAACACTCTTCAGAAGTTAAACACTTGTAAACAATACCAGCACCTCATTCAAGCTGCTGTCTCATGCTACAGTCTTTCCTTGAGTTTTAAAATGTAATTGAGAAGTGGACCTCAAGCATATTAACTTGAGAGAAATACATAAAGGAATTTGAGGAGTGCTGGGAAAAATAATTCTAAAAGTCAAACTCAGAGAACAAAACCACTTTTATTTTCAATAGTGAATCTATTTTGATTCTACGAGGATTATCCAGGCCTACACATTGTACTTTTCATGATAGGCTATTTTAGTCCCTAATCAGTACTAGTATTGCATTGGTATTCAAAGTATTAATTATATCTTTTATATGAATACCTCTTTGAAGTTTTTTTTTCAAGACTATTTAAAAACTCCTTTAAAAAAAGTATTAAACATAGTAATACATCACACGATTCAACATTATTCCTCAAAGTATTTATTGTTTATTCACATTAGTGAAAATTGGTTTGAGGCACTTAAATAGTTGAAATCTTACAGTAGGTAGGAGAAATATTCTTTCATAAAACTTTGTGTTGCATTCATGTGTTATGTATGGTACTCTTCTGATTTCTTAGTTGTGATTCAGGTTGATCTCATGCAAAAGATGAATATGATATAGTAATGTTACCCAGCTTAAAAGAAACCAAGACAGACTATCTTGGCAAATGCTAATGAAAAGCTGTTGCTGCTGAAAATTCCTGTCTCTTACCCTGTCTACAGTGTGGAAGTTTCACAAGGGCAAGTCTTGAAACAACAGGGAAGCTAATTTGCTCTGATGACACGTCACCTTAGATGTATAGAATATCTGTTACCATGCTTCATAGCAGAATCTGCTTGCATATGTTGGAAGCAGTATCAGGAAAAGTATTTAAGTGGTTAAATAAACATAAACTAGCAAACGGCAGCACTTTGGTCATAAGGTCTCTGTATACCATATATCCAACACTGCCAAACTGCTTTTTGCTTCCAATCAAAAAAGGGGATTATATAAACAAATATCTAAAATACTTGAACTGTCAAAGATTGAACTGAAAGTCCTGCTATTCTTATAGAAGGAAAGTAAGTTGACACTGCTGTGGACATGTTTTCTAGACACATTTTAGACACCTTTCACAATTAATTTTGAAAAACAAATTAAACAAATTCAAACAAATTAGCAATAATACCATTGCCATGCAAGACACTGACAGTGTCTTGCACATTCCCTATTTGTTGAATGCTACAGTACATCATACATGCCAGTTTACAATGTTAAGAGCAAATAATCCTAAGAGTTTGCTACAATACACCTGTTTTCTGACCAAATATTTCTCTCCTTTTTCTGTGCTGTTTTTCAGAAATTACCTCTCCCTGCCATCATTTTAGAGTCTTACCAACTATTCATTTTGTGAAAATACTTAATTTCCTTGAAAAGGGTTTTGTGGAAACTAGAAATATTACATTTCATAGGAGTTGGCAGGAGCAGAGAGTGAGAATGCACATCAGAATTTCTCTAAAGAATAAAAAGAAATTGGGTTTTTTACTACAACAATGTGATCAACTTAAGCAGGTCAAAAAATCTGTTAAGTGTCTCTTAAATCTTGCTTTTGAAAGACCAAGATGACTGTCATTTATTGTACAGTCTCCTAACCAAGTCTAACATATATTCCTTCTCTGCAGTGGGTGAGTTTAGAAGGCAAGATGGGGTAAGAGAGCTTTCTGTGGCAATTTCTGGAGACCAGAAACAATTTTGTATTTACATTTATCTACTGCATGTTGAAATCATATCTCTTGATCAGGGTGACTTTTTTTTTTCCTGTTTTGAAGCATTAGAAACACAGTTGTTTGAAAGTTAAAAATCTGAAATTGCCTAATCATATAAAGTCTGGAATATTTTGGTAGCTTTTCAACTTCTGACTTTGGCCTTCTACCATACAACTTCATTGCTTTGGATAGAAGTCAGAATCTATGGATATTTTAATTTATTCCAACAGAATAAAATAAGAATTCTCCTTAAAATGCAATTAAATTCCAGAAGTTTTTAGAATTGGCCATGCTTCCCTGATCAATGACTGTTTCCAAATATGAAGGTAAACTGCCTCAAGATCTTACAATTTCAACTGGAAAAATAAAGATGAGCATTGTCTGAAATTATCCGTGTGGTGTTTGAAGCCTATTGAACATTTTATCTTGCTCTGAATTGACTGAAGGGAAAAAAAAATATAATTCTTTCATTCTGGGAAGCTTACACAGAACATGAGCCAGCCAAAAGAAAGAGCCAAGAAAATACAGTTACATGAAGAAAACCCCTACATTTTCCAGTGTTACCAGTCACGTTGAAAGTTCCCTCACTGGAGCCAGGAAATAATTTTCCTTAGTCTTTTATCATGTGTTAGTAGAGTACACTGCACAGAATTGAGTGAATTACCGTTTGTTTGATTCTTTGCTTCCCCATGAAGAGCCTTGCAGATGGAGAACAGCATAATAATTCAGTACTATACAGAAATTTCTAATATCCTAATCCCACTCCATCAAACCAGATGTTTTTCTTCAGTGGGCTTCCTCTTTAAAATATATATATATAAAAATTTTTTTTAGGGATGTGTATGGGAAATGAATGTAGCACTTCAGAGAAGTAAACAAATTATGATGGGTCATACCTATCTGTACACTTTACCACACACCTGCTTTTCAGTTTCTGTCTGTTTTCTCTCTGTTTTCAACTCCCTACCCTACCGAGCCAGGTCTCAATTCTTTGCGTTCTGCACAATTAACATAAAGACAGCTGTCAGTGTGGGCAGTGGATGAAGCAAGCTGGATTTCCTCTCCCCATCACAGCCACCTCACTGTGCCCCGTGATCCGCATGACGCTTCCTTCGTGACACCAGCATCACGCACTGTGGCTAATGGGAGCCTGCCCACAGGCTGACCAGGGGCCAGCTGGCTGCCACCACATGACCAAAAGTGAAGTGACAAAAGATGGGTGAAAAGAAAACAGCACCAAGGCAGGAAGGCCTCTTGCTTCACATTTCCTTGTGCCTGAACCAGCAATGAAGGGCGGCTGTTGCCCTGTCCTCTCCTCAGATCCTTCCACCCTCCTGAGCACTCTCACCATCAGGTGTTTTGCAGAGCTGTCTTGGTACAAGAATATCAGAAATAAAAAAAGCCAAAACATCATTCACTTTTTTCTTTTTCAGCAAGTTAATTTTCTGCTGCTTTAACTGCTGAAATGACTTGGCAAAGGACATGACAAAGCATGACAAAGGACTGCAACAAGGGAGGGGCAGGAACAGAATGCTCA